TCCTGCTCGCTCCGGCCCCGCCGCCGCCGCCGCCGGCCCTCCGTCCGCTGTTTATTAAACTTTTCTGTTTGGTTGTTCGGCCTGTGACGCGGCCGCGGGCCCGAGCTCCGCGATTGGCCGGCGCCCGGCGCTGACGCGGCGCCCCGCCCGCCGCCTAATTATTACCGGCCGGGAGGGGCCGCGGGGCGAGCGCGCGGGGGGCGGGGCCTGGAGCGCCGGAGGCGGGGCTGGGGCCCGCGGCGCCAGGCGATTGGCCGGCGCCCCGCGCGGAGCCGCTCCCCCGCCCTTACCGCCCGGCGGGCGCTTCCTGAACTCGGCTCCGGCGGCTGCCGGCGCGCCGGCGGGGTTGGAGAGTGAGGGGGCCGGGGTCCGGCGGCGGCCCCCTCTGTCCGGAGGAGGTCCGTTCTGCCCCCGCCCGCGGCGCTGGGAAGTGTGTGCTCCACCTGCCAGTTGGGCCCGAGGGGACGCGGAGCCGGCCCCGCGTGCAACCGCGTGCCCTCAGCCCCGCGCGCGCAGGGGCGCCGGCGCGCTGAGGGGAGCGAGACTCGACGCGCTTGCCCACGAAGGCCCAAGTACGTGCACACGGGTACACACGCGCCCTCCCGAGACCCCGCCCAGCGGAGCGGGGCAAGCCGCCCCCGCAGTGTCCCGGACCCCAGGCTCCCGGGCAGCCCCGCGGGAGGCCCAAGATCACAGCTCCAGGGCATTCAGCCCCACCTTGAGGGAGGGTGGGGCCGACCGGCGGAGGCCGGAGGGTTCTGTTTTCAGATCTGATGTTTTATTCTCCGCGAGTTTTTTGCATTACTGTTGATGTTCAAAACTACAGTATCAGAATCCTAGGTATCTGGATTGCTGAGCTTTTTGGTGCTGTTTACGATGTAAAGCTTGAAGTGAGTACCTCAGTGTCTTCGCCCCAGTGGGGTCTCCCTTTGGGGAGTCAGATCTTCGCGGGGCTGGCCGTGTAAAGGTTAGGTCTCCTGCAGCAGGACTTGGGGATAAGAAGTGGTTAACCATTGAGAAGATGCAGGCCAGAAAGGCTTCAAGGAGGAGGTGGCCTGCATTGGCTTTGCGCACTGCAGAGTGCATGGGGCTTGGCCATGCTGGGATCCCGAAGCAGCGTCTTCCTGCTCTCCTAAAGAGGCCGGAAGATACAATCGGGAGTTGAAGAACAGGGTGACGTGTTGTGAGGTGACCGATGCTTCAGGGCGAAGTAGGGAATGTCTGTCCCATGTCAAGTGGAGGCTGGTGTCAGCGGTAGAATGGGCACGGCGGTAACCTGCAGGGAGCTCGCCCAGGGCCTAAAGGTATTCATCGGGTGGGCGTTCACGTTCAATTTTAAAAACACAAACCTTAGGTTAACCCGTGAGCAGGGGATTTTGGCCAAGAGTGTCGTCTCTGATAACGGGAGACCAGGTTATATCGGAGAAAGTCCCAGAAGCCAAATTGTGTATTTCGCTTTACTTGGTGGGAAATGGGAAGCCATAATAGAACAAAAAGAACTACAGAAAGGGAAATGGTGGATTGTAACCATTTGGTGGGTTCTGCTGGAACCAGGAATGATTTTGCAGCCTGGTTTTCTTTCAGCTTCTTCACTGCCCTCCCGTCGTTGGAGAACTGTATGGAAAGAATTTAGGATCTTGGCCACGGTTCACATCCCCGCTCAGACACATTTTTGACTCGGTGATGTTGAGCCATACCCATAACTCCCTGGGTCTCACTTTTCTATTAGTTTGGGGAACATCAGTGAACAAAACAAAGATTTTTCTTTCTAACGGAGGGGATACAAGCAAAACAGTCGTACGTTTTGTGTTGTTAGAAGGTGGTAAGAGGAGCACCTGGGAGCGTCCGACTTCGGCTCAGGTCACGATCTCGCAGTTCATGGGTTCGAGCCCCGCGTCGGGCTCTGTGCTGACAGCTCAGAGCCTGGAGCCTGCTTTGGATTCTGTGTCTCCCTTTCCGTCTGCACCTCCCCCTTTTATGTTCTGCCTCTCTCTCTCTCGAAAATAATTAAAACATTTTTAAAAAATGATGGTAGGGCACCTGGGTAGCTCGGTCAGTTAAGCGTCTGACTTCGGCTCAGGTCATGATCTCGCGGTTTGTGAGTTCAAGCCCCGCGTCGGGCTCTGTGCTGACAGCTCGGAGCCTGGAGCCTGCCTCGGATTCTGTGTCTCCTTCTCTCTCTGCCCTTCCCCCCACCGTGTGCTCTCTCTCTGTCTATCAAAACTAAATAAAAATGTAAAAAAAAATTTTTTTTAAAGATGGTAAGAGGTAGAGACAAGAAAACATAGAGCGGGGTTGAGGATGGAGAGGCAGGTTGTATTAAACACGCCGTCAGCATAGGCGTCGCTGAGGAGGTGGGGTCTGAACAGAATTGTTAGCGGTAAGGGGGGTGCCCTATAAAAATAACCTAGGGGAAGAGCATTCCAGACTGAGAACGGTTGGGCACACGGGCCTCGAGGCAGGTGACCCGGGTAGGATACTGCTGCTGTGAACACTTGTCCACAGGTGTTTGTGGGCACACAGGTTTCCACTTCTCTTGGGTTCGTACCTAGCACTGGAATTACTGGGCCGTTGTGGTGCTTCTGTTTTAATCCCTTGAGGAATTGGTAACACTGTGTCCAGAAGGGATGCGCTGTGTCACGTCTGCAGGGGCAAGGAGTGAGGGTTCAGTGCCTGCACACCCTTGGCCACACTGCTGCCTGTCTGGGTTACATATAGCCCACCCCAGTGAGGACCAGTGTCTGGTGGTCGTGATTTGCATATGTCTGATCGCTAACAATGTTGAGTGTCTTTTCATGTGCTTATTGGCCACGTGTGGATCCTCTTTGGAGACATGTCTATTCAGATCCTTTGCTCATTTTGAAATCGGGTTATTCGTCTTTTATTTGGGGTTGTGAGGGTTCTTCACGTATTCCGAACACAAGTGCCTTATCAGATACATAATTCGCAAATATTTTCTCTCATTTGTGGTTTGTCTTTTCACTTGCTTGATGATATCCTTTGAAGCGTCGAAGCTTTTCATTTTGCCTTATCCTTTTCTTGAGTCCTTCTCTCCGCAACATCAAATTAGTCACAAATTTCATGGATTTGGCCTTAGAGATATCTCTGAAATGTACCCCCCCCCCACCCACTGCCCTGTACACCCCCTTATTATTTCTGGCCTGAACTTAAGCAGTAGCCTCCAATCCTATTCTCTCTTGTAGGCCCCACCCTGATGGCCCTCCAGCTGTTTCCAGAAGGCTCTCCCTGAAACACAAATTGAGCAGGTCAGACCTCTGCGGGTTCCGCATTCCTCCTGGCACAGGTCTCGAACTCTTCCAGTAAGAGTACCCGCACCATTTAAAACATTGGGGTTGCAGGGCCGTGACCCAGACACCGTGAATCGGAATCTCTAGGGGATGAACCTGTGCATCTGGGTCTAATAAGCCCCCGGGGGGGTTTTATTCTCAGAACAGTTATGCCTACAACAGTGGTTCTAAGCCAGGGGTGGTTTTGTTCCCCAGGGGACATTTGACAATGTCTGGAGACATTTTTGGTGGTTACACCTGGGGGAGGGGGTGTGGCTGTCACCCAGTGACTCCCTGCAGAGAACCGTCAGCCCTGAATGTCAATCCTGGTGAATTGAGAGCCCTGGCTGTGTTTGTAGGAAATAAAATACAAACCCACGTTTGAGTCTAACTTCTTGGTTCCCAACTCCATCAGAGGTCTATGGCTCTGTAAGAACCATCCCCAACTTAGTGGCTTGAAACAACAATTGACCTTTCTCATGATTCTGTGGCTGGACCGGGCAGTCCTGCTGTCCCCCGCCCCGGGCTCTTGTTGGAGACCGCTGAGCTGTGCACCTGTCCCGTTGGGTCTCTGGTTTCATGGGCGTTTCATAGTGTGGAGGTTTTGGAGATACAAAGGGTGTGAGCTTGAATGCCACTTCTGCCATATTCTGCTGATCACAGAGGGTCACAAGCCTCAGATTCAAGGAGCAGGGAAAGAGACCCTACTTTTTAAAGCAAGGAACTCGCAAAGACTTTGTGGCCGTGTTAATCCACCAGCAGCCTACCTTTTCGATGCTGTCTCCAAGGGCCTGCCTCCTTGTCACCTCAGTGGGGGACGCGCCAGGGCCAGAAGAGAGTCGGAGGCTCCGGGCAGTGGGGAGGAAGTACCCCCAGGAAAACTTCTCAGAGACTTGTGTTAGCAGGATGTCTCTTCTCGTGACTTTTCATCAGAGTCTAAACCAAAGGTTCTGAAACGTTTTAGGCTCAGGACCCTCTCACACTCAAAAATTATTGAGGACCACTGGGTGGCTCAGTCAGTTGAGTGTCCAACTCTTGATTTCAGCTCCGGTCATGGCCTCAGGGTCATGGGATCGAGCCCCGAGTCAGGCTCGGCATTGAGCGTGGAGCCTGCTGGGGACTCTTTCCCTCTGCCCCACCCCTCTCTTTCTCTCTCAAAAAATGAATAAACTTAAAAAAAATTATTGAGGACCCCAAAAAACTTTTATGTTGGTTATATCTACAAATGTTTATTGTATTAGAAATTAAAAATAAGACATTTTAAAAAATAAATATTGGTTTATTTAAAAAATATGGGGCGCCTGGGTGGCGCAGTCGGTTAAGCATCCGACTTCAGCCAGGTCACGATCTCGCGGTCCGTGAGTTCGAGCCCCGCGTCGGGCTCTGGGCTGATGGCTCAGAGCCTGGAGCCTGTTTCCGATTCTGTGTCTCCCTCTCTCTCTGCCCCTCCCCCATTCATGCTCTGTCTCTCTCTGTCCCAAAAATAAATAAACGTTGATAAAAAATAGTAATAACTCGTTTAGATGTTATTCACGTTGGTGTTGCCTGGGTAGTACAGTCCCTTGAGCGTCTGACTCCTGATTTCGGCTCAGGTTATGCCCCAGGGTCATGGGATTGAGCCCCACATTGGGCCCCACGCTGGGCATGGAGACTGCTTGAGATTCTCTCTCTCTCCCTCTGCTTCTTTCTCGCTCACACACTTTCTCTCTCTGTCTCTAAAAACGTAAAACTAAAAATAAATTTCAGATGGAAATTAGCTATGTTTTCCAGAATACGAGTCAGTAAAAAGAATGACACCGTGTTACATTTGTGCATATCTCTTTAAATTTTTTTTAATGTTTATTTATTTTTGAGAGAGAGAGCGCGTATGAGCGGGAGAGGGTCAGAGAGAGAGAGGGAGACACAGAATCCGAAGCAGGCTCCAGGTCCCACGCTGTCAGCACAGAGCCCGACATGGGGCTTCAACTCACGAACTGTGAGATCCTGACCTGAGCCGAAGTCAGATGCTTAACGGACTGAGCCACCCAGGCGCCACTGTGAACATCTCTAACATTTGGCTTAACAAAAGGCAGCCTGATTCTCATTTGTTTCTGCATTCTCTCTGATGCAATACCACACATCACGTAGCCTCTGGAAAACTCTATTGTACGCTCATAAGAAAAAGGCAAATCATGACTTAGTATTATAGTAAAAACAGTTTTGATGTCACAGACCCCCTCAGACTGTTTCAGGGACCCATAGGGGTCCATGGATCACACTTGGAGAACCACCCAGGCTGTTCCAAC